GAGAGCTGCACCTGCGAGCAGTCTGGCCAGTATGTGCTCACGGGCTGCCGAGATTAGAGTTTTGCTCTCTCTCTCTCTCTCACACACACACACAGAGTACATTACCATGACTCACTACCGCGCCTTCCCCCCCCCCCACCCACCCTGGAGAAAGGGAGGGGCTGTGGTTTGCTTCTGGCAAGGAATCCAATGGACAGGATACATCTAAAGGGAAATGATGCCATTGCGCTTTTATTTTCAGCCGTTTCAAGCAATGAGGCAGAACGGTGCAGACACGCCGAGATGCACAGACTGATTTACCTTCCGTCAGCGTGGAGCCACCCTCGCAGAGTGCATTGCGGGCATCTGATGGAATGCTACACCGCAGAACCTGGCCATTCCACCCACCAAGTCAAACACTAGCGCGTTCCCCCCCCCCCCCCTGCCCCCACCTTTATCCGAGCTGTTGATTCTAACTACACTCTCGTGCTCGCTCCCCACACTCTTTAATATTACTCGGTTAATACTTCTTGGCAAGTGTTAGACTGGTTCAGTTGGTAGCGCTCTCGCCTTCGAGTCAGGAGGTTGTGGATTGATGCCCCACCTCGGGATTTGAAATCACATAGTCTAAACTGATGCTCCAATGCAGCGCTGGGGGTGGGTTGCATTGTCGGAGGTGTCGTCTTTCGGATGAGATGTTAATCCCAGGCCCTGTCTGCCAGCTCAGGTGGATGTTAAAGATCCCATGGCGCTATTCAAAAAAAGGAAGTTTCTCTCTCCCCCGATGTTCTGGCCAACAATCCCTCAAATAAAATTGGTCACTCACTATAGAGCTGGTTGTGGTTCATTACTTTGTACAAATTAGCTGCCGGGTTTCGCCCCCAAAATACATAGTCACCCAACTGCACAGTAAATCCCGTGAAGCGCTTTGAGACATATTGACGACACGATAAGGCGCTACATGCAAGGATTATTAACACAGCAAATTGCTCACCCCGCCCATGCCGTGGGTAGAGGAAAGATTTTCTATATTTAAAAAGGACTAAACCGAACTAGCTGCAGAAAGAAGGTGGTTTTCCACAGAATTAACTATTTTACAACAGAAAGAATAACAAAGCTGTGCTTTCCTATCCACACAGAGACACAAGACAGTGAGCCAGAGACACACAGGGTCAAACAATAGAGGACGAAACATGGACAATTTGTATTGTCTAAATCCAAGCCTGATTATATAATGTCTGTAACTTTTGGCTGCATTACATCCTCGCAGGCACTTTACACACCCTCGATGTCCTTGTTACTGTGCAAGTCCTTCAGCAAAATACCACGGCTGTGATTAGCCAAACTCCTGGGTGGACAATAGCAGGGACAGAGCGAGACTTTATAGTAGAGAATACCAGGGAGATGGGAAGGGGAAATAGAGAGAGAGAGAGGGAGGGGGAGGAAGTTATATAGTTGTATCATTTGAAAAAGCGGATAAGGTCAAATCAAGTCATGTGAAGCTTCAGTGCTTTCCAGTTATCTGCACTTCACAAGAACATTACAGCCACAGGACAACTCTGAATGTCTGAAAACTATTCAGCTGTTATAATATATACTAACATTTCTTGTCTCAGTTTGGTTACGTGTCCTTTATGCTTTCTGTTCTCCCCATTTCCTTCTGCTCCCTCCCTCCCACCTACTCAGGTACCCAGCCAACAGTGTCAAGGGCTTTGAGACATCCTCCCACAAACAGTCATGGAGCGAGTGACCACATTTTTTTTTAGATATGGCTACGAAGAGCTGTTAAGACTCTTTCCTATAGAGCAGCAACGGTTGAGAGGTAATACCCTAAATAACTCAACTCAATACAGAACAGAATGATCATGGCTAAGGTGCTAAAGGAGTCAAACAAGTCAAACACCTAACATGTGTCTGGATCAAGTGGTTAGCAAACTCGTAGGCGTAGACCAGGCAATATAATGAACGGTTGCAACTTCAGAATTAGATCTAATTGTGGACTAGTTAAGCTTTGATCAGTGACTCCAAACAGAGAGGAGAGAGGCATCATGTCCCAGACTGTGAGAACAGACCAGAGTGTTCATCCGTTTCAACACAAGCTCTTTCTTGCAGGTTACTCACCCTTGTTCGGCTCAGGAGCTATTCCAAATCAACTACCTCCCAGAGATAAAGTGTTCTTTGAAATAAATTGTTTGAAGGAAGCACACTAAATGTTTTTGTCTCAGATCACCAAACAGGTCCCACAGTGTTCCAGTCGCCTCCTTCACAACTACAGTACTTGGCAACCTCTCATTTACTGAGCTCTATCACTGTCCATAACTTCACTCACACAATTTACGGGGTTAGATCAAGAACAGGATTGCTTGTTATACTGGAAAAGAGAAACTAGTTAAAGATCCTGTCTCTAGAGAGGGCAGATTCAATACACACTCAACAACCTCTTTCTTACGTATGTACGTACATACGTACGTACTTACTTATTACTCACTCACCCACCTTTACCTACTACCCCTATCAACCGCCCCACCCACTTACTTAACCACTACTTAATGACCCCTCAGCCTATTTAAATAACCTTACGGTCAGCCGAGCTAATCAATCTACTCATTGCAAGAGAGTGAAAGGAGCTTCCTAATTAAAGGTGTGTTGCAGGCTCTTGGGGGAGGGAGTAAATTGGATGTGCAACAGTTGTCACCTGTTCCTACCTCTAAGTGAGGCCTGAAGGAGGTACAGTATAATAAACTGGCTCTCTTCAAAGGGACAGCCTCTAGATGTTATTAAGAATAATAATCTTTGCATTCGATATAGCGCTTTATCATAACTTCGAGACATCTCAAAGCGCTTCACAGGATAGACTGTAAAATGAATTGACTGTTAATCCGATCCCACTCTCACACCCCCAGATCTTCTGCAAAACAAATTGTCATTTAAAAGAATGCAATGCTTCAGCACCGGTTTAGCCGGTTTCTGCTCTTCAATTGTGTGAGTTACACAACAACAGGAACAATCTTAGTATCTATAGCGTCTGTGACATAGAGTGACGTCTCAAAGCACTTTACGGGGATGAGGTGAAACCTTAGGCAAGTTTCCTTACATCACACGCCTCCGGTTACCTAGCAGTAAGTAGGAGCCTGATTGTTAGTCGACTGGTGGAACCCTTTCAATCCAATCAAAAAAAAATAAAAAAAATAATAATTTGGTCAATCAATCCTCAACTGTTTAGGGCACGCTGCTCTGCGCAATTGCACAAGTGCAGAAAATATAGAGTCAATTCACTTTATAGTGCATTCTGTGAAGCTCTTTGAGACGTCTCAGCGACATGATAAGGTGCTATGTCAAATGCAAGGATTATTATATTGTTATTATAAGTGGGAACCCACGCAAGTGGGAAATAATAATAGTAATAAAAATCCTTGCATTTGATACAGCATCTTATCAAATGGTCAAGACATCTCAAAAGTGATTCACAGGGTTTTGGTGTAATGTGTAGTGATTGTATTTGGAGGCAAATGCAAAGTACATCCCCATTGGCATAGTTCAGATTCCTTACTAAGAAATCCTGATAAGCAATATTGCACGTTAGACCCCGATGTATAATTAACCATGATAACAGAGCTAAATGGCAAGGTTGCTTTTTACAGTCCTAATAAAACACGCAGTGATGGGCTGTCTTTTATTTGATTCTAAAAAGGCCTTTGACCTACAAACAAAATAACGATCTTTACAACTGATACAGAGCCTATACTGACAAAATATCTCACAGCATTTCGCAGGGAGTAGCTGTCAAGTGTCGTCACTGAGTGTTTGTAAGCAACGTGGCAACTGATTTTCACATTTTAGCAAATGTCCCACGTTTCGTCCACAAAATACACAGTCAATGATTGATCTTATCTGGGCCAGGACATTGGGAGAAGTCCCTTCTCTTTTCTGACAGTTTCACGGGAAGGCAGAAGGGACCTCGGTTTAAAGCGTGACCTGATGGTTGAGATGTTAAGCTGGAGCTCCATCCACCACAGCATCAGGGCTGCCCACGGAAACCTGGAGTGAGGAGCATCACAAGCTGCTCTCACAAGCTAACAGCCAGGTGTCTGGGAACCCTTTTGGTCGGGTCAGAGGACATAGCCCAGGGAGTAAGAAATAAAAGTTTCCATTCCGCAATTCAAAATCCCATTGTCTCCATTTCCCTCACCCTGGAGCACAACAAATATACCCAGAGTGGAGCTACAGAACCAATTGCATTCCTGTTCTTATTCAATTGGTAACATGAAATTCCCATTCCTGTTCGTCCCTACACACACGCACAAGCTGACTTGACGTGTTCAGTAGTTCAGTAGAGAACCTGTCCTCCAGTCAGAAAGTCTTTACTCCCTGCCCCTCACATTCCTCAACCTCCTCATTACTGCTCTAAAGCTCGCAAGCAAGAGGACCCGGGTTCGATTCCTGGGCAAAACCTCCCTTGCATTTGATGTAGCGCCTTATCACGTCTTCGAGATGTCTCAAAATGCTTTATAGAATATACTGTAAAGTGGAGTGCATCAAAAGGCAGGGCAATAGACTTACTCTATTTGTCCACCCTCCTACCTCCCAACAACAACAACTTACATTTGTATAGCGCCTTTCAAGCGGAGAGAACATCCCAAAGCAGTATGCATTGAGTCCCAGTCCACAATCACTCACTCAAGAGCAAAGACTGGTTAAATTCCAGCAGTTACTCCAACACACACTCTGGGGGCCCCAAGCCTTGGCTGGCCCTTGCCCTGCGCCTAATACTCTCTGGAGTTGGCTAAGTAAGATGCATCCCCCTGGGGAGAGAGAGTGCGCATTCCATTCCAAAACATGGGAGTATCCACCTGTAGGTGACATGTATGGAATTCCCAGTCTGATTTGGATACTCTTAAGCGAGGTGATGGGTTTCCGCACGCGTCAGAAACCCGGCTGACTTCTAAATAAGAGAGAAAAACAAACCCCCCCCACCCCCAGCAAATCGAGAGGGCAGGAGACAGTGCACCTCACACGCTCACCTTATTATTCCCCTGGTCCATCGTTTGACACATGACCATCCATGGCGGAGTATACTTAAACATCTTTCTCCACTCCTTCTCTCGTCTCAGCTCCTCTTGGCTATCAGAGCTCCCAAGTATCTCTCACAGCAGGCGAGTAACTCCTGACAGCTCCGTGTGTCACAGTCTCTGGTATTTCCATTGATCTAACCTGCACAAGGTTCAAAGGAGGACGTTATACTCTGGATGCAGATTGAGTTGCGCCCAGTTGTCTTGTACACTCACAGCCAATCTGCTTTCGGATTCACTCCCATTCATTTTCGTTTTCTATTCACTCAATCCCTCCCTCCTTCCCCCCCCCCCCAACCCCCATTCCGCCCTCCCCCTAACGTCCATTAGGTCAATACAAAAACTTGTTGGATGACTTCTTACCCTAAAGTCAGCGACGCAAGGTGGAACTTAACAGAGGAAGTGTTACACCTGTTTTCTCAACTCATTCCAATACTGGGCGGGGAGGAGCAATAGAGAGAGAAATATGCGTGACAGAGTGAAAGAGAAGAGCACTCCCAACAGAGAGGACAGGGGGAAAGTTTGTGATGTGGCACTTAACAGAGACTTAATAATATTAAAAATAATCCTTGCATTAGAAGTTGTTGAGACGTCTCGAAGCGCTTCACAGGATACATTGTAAAGTGGATCGGTTGCGTTTAGTGGGTGAAATAAATAAGGGAAAAAAGCAACAATAGCTTCAACACTAAGATAATGGGTCAAAAGGCCCCCAGTTGTTTCGTAGGAAAGGAGCAGCCAGAAGATAGAGATATACACGGGAGCTCAGTGGAAAGAATTCCTACCCCCAGTGACTAGACAGCCTTTCCCCTCCATGACCTGCCGATGAGCCAGGCTGGGGGGGGGGGGGGGTTGTCAGTATTGCCCTGGAATACTGCGCATCAGCCAGGCTCAGGAACGGACTGAAGACCGGCATAGAGGGTGGGCTCGATTCCATTCTGTTACCAAGTGTGACACCGTGTCGTTCATTACAAAAGCGTGATGATGCCTGAGAACTGTGAAGAAAAGTAGCTGGAGCCGTTGAAACCCAGAAGGTCCTGCAAAACGGGGGTAAATAATGCTGATTCAGGGATGGAATATTAGCGAGTAATCAGATCTGACGTGAATCAGAAAGTTCCACATTATTCCGTCTGCTCGATTTGAATTTCCCTGAAAAGCCACAAACCGCTCATTTTTTTTTTTAGCGCCAACAAAAACAACAGCCCAGTCGGTAACTCTGCCATTTCGCAAAGTTCAGCAAATGAAACCTGAGGTCTGGCTACCGTGAGAGCTGCCACCAACACAGAGGGACGAGAATTTTGTTTATTCTCTGACGCAATGGTGCTGGGACGCTGATGGCTTGGCTAGCAGGCAGGGCGCTCACCTCTGGGTCAGTGTTCAAAGTCTCCACACCAGATCCCCAGCTCTAGGCTGACGCTTCGCTGTCATAGCAGCATTCAGGTGAAAAGTTAATGTGGATCTCGTCACGCTGTTGGGGAAAAAAAATGTAAGGAGTTTCTCCCGTTGTCCTGTCTGACAACCCTCCTGATGCGTTGGCCACTCACCCAATGGCTGTTTGCAGGATCCTTCGTTGAGTGTAAAATGGCTGCTTCGTTTGGCTTTCAAAAGCAGTGTCTGTGAAGCGCTTTGAGATGTTACAATGCGATAAGGCACGAGGCAGCGCTGACCTGACCTGACCTGACCTGATTCCTCTCCACTGCTGGGCTGGTCCTGGTCAGGCAAAGGAATCAACCCTTCCAGTAGCCGAGATGGCCACTAGCCTTGGTGTTCTGACTTCATTCACCAATTTCCCAAGGCCTCTGCATTCTCTCTTCATCTGTCTGGTGCAGTGGTAACGATCTCGCCTCTGAGTCAGAAGGCTGTGGGTTCAAGCCCCACGTCGGGATTTGGAATCACACAGTCTAAGCTGACACTCCAACGCAATGCTGGGGGTGTGTTGCATTGTCGGAGGTGCCGTCCTTCAGATTAGACGTTAAATCAGGTGGATGTTAAAGATCCCATGACGCTATTCGAAAAGAGTAGGGAGTTTCTCTCACTGGCGCAGTTGTGTTTCGCTCCCAAAATGCGTTGGTGTTTCACTCACAAAATATACAGTCACTCCACTTTAAAGTACATCACGCGAAGCGCTTTGAGTCGTCTCAACGACGTGATAAGACGCTTTGAGATGTTACAATGATGTACAAAGACGCCAAGTCAAATGCAAGGATTATTATTATTTTCATGACTGAGAGTTACGCTGTAGTTGGTGCAGCAGGTGTGTGTTGATACGACACTCTCACACACACACACCTGGCGGTGGCGAACTTTTTTTTCTTGAGTAAAAGCCCCATGTCACAACATTGAGCTCACAGTCTAAGCTGACACTCTAGCGCAGTGTTGGGGATGCCGTGCTTCAAAAGAGACATACATTAAGCCAATGTCTGCCTGTTCAGATGGATGTTAAAGATCCCCTTGAAAAGAAAAGTGAGTTTCTCCTGTTGTCCTGGACAAGACAAAATTGATCGTTCACTTTATGGCTGTTCGATGGACATTGCTGTACGCAAATTGGCTGCCGAGTTGGCCTACAAATACGCAGACTCTACTATAAATATCAGTAAAATCCTCTCAAGCGTTTTGAGATGCTTCAACAGCAGGATAAGGAGCTATATCAACGCAAGGATTATTATTATTATTATTATTATTATTGCTGGCGACATAGCGGGCACACACCCAACACAGCAATTTCGAAAACATTCTCAGAATAGTTTGAACAAGAGCTAGAAACTATTAGTCACCAGCAAAAAATCCAAATATACGTTTGTTTGGCTGTATTTTGCTGTGATAAGGAAAATGTTGGTATTCTCATCGGCTGGGGGCGGGGTGGGGGGGAAGGGCAAGGATTAAAGTTTTGTTAAATCCATAGCTCAGGGGTGCTCCTGACGTACAAATTCCAGCAACATGATGAAAGGTTCCTGTTGCACTCACACGCATACCTGGCTGATCCCTCTATTGTGTGGTGCGAATGAATAGCTCTGTCATTCAGCATTGCTGGGCTGGTTTCAGCCTCATAAATGTTTACAGCAGCTTCCTTGATCGTTGCAGGGTGGGGTGTCGGTTGGATGTGTGTGTGTGAGGGGTGGGGTGGGGTGGGGGGGATCTCCTTGGAGCTCAGTTGATTTCAAGGCGACCTGCTTGGCAATAGTCAGCATCGAGCCCACCCTCTGTGGCGGTCTCTCTAGAAGGGTCCACAGTATTCCAGGGCTCTGCTCATCAGCAGGACTTTGAGAGGCCAACATTCCCCCAAATAAAATTGTTCATCCACTCCATGGCTGTTTGTGGTACAATGCTGTGAGTCCCTCCTCCTTGCTCCCTCCTTCCCACCTTTAAGACTTGCCTTAAGACCATCCTTTTGCACTAAGCTTCCTGTCACCTCCCTCCCCCCAACACAAACACACACGCACGTACCTTCCTCAGCTCCTCCCCCCACCAGCTCTGGCTCCCAGTCGTCTCAGCGAAGCACTTTTGAGTCACTGTATAAACGTAAAATCGTTGTAAAATCGTACTTTGGCCCCGAGAACTTTGCGCCGTTTAAAAACAAACATTGTAATCCCCCCCACCCACCACCCCCCCCAAAAAAAATTGCCCTAGGAAACTATAAAAACCCTGCCAGGCAACAACAACAACGGACACGTGAAGGTGTCATCCACAAAGAATATCCCTTGGGCAAAGAAAAGTGAACAATTTCAGAATGAGGAACAAATATTATCGAAACCAATGGCTTGATTAGAAACTGCCTGAGCTCTGACTTCTCCAGCGACCTTGGGACTTTGAGCTCACAGTCTAGACTGACGCACCAATGCAGCGCTAAGGGTTTACACGGCATTGTCAGAGGTGCTGTCCTTTGGATGAGACGGTTAAATCGAAGTCCAGCCTTCGCCTCTTTAGGTGGACGTTAACGATTCTGTTGGCGCAACTCGAAAAGCGAAGGGATTTTCTCTCCTCCCGGTGTCCTGGCCAACAATCCTTCCCCCCCCTACCGCCGCCCTGATAAATTTGGTCGTTCATCTCCGGGGTGTTTGTGGAATATATGCTGGGTGGATGCATATTGGCTGCTGCCTTCGCCCAAATAAAATACACTGTAAAACGCTTTGAGATGTTTCAACGTTAAAGGAGCTGTATCAAATGCAAGGATTATTATTACTCTAAGAGTGAGGGCAGAGATTGGGTCCATTCCCATCTCTGGCTTGGAGAGAGATATTGATGGGTAGGAACAGAAAAATCCGCAGTCTCACATACAGACTCTCAAGCCAAATACAGAATAAACATAGTCAACATAAAAATTCTCATCAGAAATAAAAAGTAGACTCACGCGGCAACAATAACGATTACATTTATATCGTAAATAGTTTAGGATTAAATTATCAAATAACTAAGTAATAATCTGGTGAGTCAATCCACAACTGTTTGTGGGACGCTGCTGTGCGCAATTGGCTGCCACGTTTCACCCACAGTTATATAGTCAATTCACTTTAGAGTATATTCTGTGAAGCGCTTCGAGACGTCGCAACGACGTGATACGGCGCTATATCAAATGCAAGGATTATCATTGTTTATACGGATGATATGGCTCGTAAGGTGGGCAGAGGTGGTTGAAGTAGTGGGGAGACGGTAATGGAAAGCAAGGGCGAAAAGATTTAAAAAAGGTTTAAAGGCAGTTTCAAAGAGTGTGGGTCGAGGCGGAAGGTCTCGGGGACACAGTTCCAGAGATTGGGGTGGAGGTGGGGCGGGGGCAGAATGCCAATGTAAACACAAAATGCACGGGGCAAGGGTGGGTGGGGTGGGGGGTGCACACAAAACCCGCCCCAGCACTGACCTGAGGAGATAGCTGCCACTCACGTCAGTGAAATATCCAGAAAACACATGCCCAAGGAACAACCAACCGATCGCCCCGTTTCCGATGGAGATGGTTGAAAGCTGTGGATTTGGGTGGAATTAACTGGAACAAAAAGTGACGGGCGACTGACCATAGGGAGGAGAATGAGCGCGATCCGCCATTGTTTACTACGGCGGGGGCGGGGCGGGGGGAATGTGTGTGTGGGGGGGAGGGGAGATGTGTGGGTGGTGGGGGTGGGGAGGGGGGGCGGGGAGCGCTCAGCCTGGTTTACACTGGTCGGCCAATGCTGACGAGGTCGAATTCCTGGTGATTGTTGCTGATGCGTGTGGTGGCTCATTCAACCAAAAGAATGGGTTGGAATGTGAGCCCGATGCTCGCCTGGAGCCTGTTTGTGTAACTGTTACTAAAACACTGTGTCCTCACTGTAGTCCTGCAGGCTGGTCACGGTGGCAGGGCTGGGACCTGTGACGTTCTCACCGAGTACGAAAGATCCCCGCTTTTCAACAAGGGCCCATAGGCACGAAGGAGCAGGAGTAAGCCATTCAGCCCCTCGAGCCTTTTCCGCCAATTCTATTAGATCGTGGCTGATCTGTACCTCGACTCCATATACCTGCCTTTGCCCCATATCCCTTCGTACCATTACCTAACAACAATCCATCCACCTCCATCTGGAAAATTTGAGTGGATCCAGCGTTCACAACCTTTTGTGGGAGAGAGTTCCAGATTTCCACTACCCCTATGCGGGAAAAAATACTTTTTTTTGGTTTCACTCCTAAATGGCCAAGCTCTAATGTTAAGATTCTAAGATTAGGTGTGGATGGCATGATTCTAGGTGGCTGTGAGGGGAGGGGGATTTGGGTGAAGGTCACACCTGGCTGTACTTTAGGAGACGTCATATTCAGGTGAGCCATTCAACCAAGGTCCCTTCTTTGCTGGTTCAGGTGGAAGTTAAGGATCCCATGGCACCATTCGAAAAGAGAGGGCAGTTTCTCTCTCCCGGAGTCCTTGCCCAACAATCCCCCAGATAAAATTGGTCGCTCACTTCACGGCTGTTTGTGGGACGTTGCTGTGTGTAAATTGGCTGCCGCGTTCGCCTACACAATGTACAGTCACTACACTTCACGGTAAAATCCGGTGAAGTGATTTAAAGATGAACTCCGGACGTGAAAGGTGCTGAACTAAATGAAAGCGCAACAGTACAAGTGTCAAGAGAGGATCAAAGTGAAATTCAGAATTATTTCAGTGCTGCCTCAACGATGCAAAGCTACACATTCTCCTACAGCTCGGAATGAAGGTTATCTCGCTGATGATACTTGTAGTAACTTTGTGGGTTATTTCTCCCACAAAATACACGGTCAATTCACTTTGCAATATATTCTGTGAAGCGCTTTGAGACGTCTCGATGATGTGATAAGGCGTGTGATATGTCAAATGGAAAGGGTCATTATTGTTATATTGCTGGGACTTTGTCTTTCTCAACACATGTGGTCAAAGTCGCTCATTTAGTGCGAAGAGGAATTTCACCTCCACTCCCAGGTATTATAATACCTTCCACGGTCCTGTGATACAGCCACATACCCCAACCTCAAGTTCTGTCCTTGCCACACTTTAACAATGACTCCATATCAGGTGCGGAGGTGCTTTGCAGAGTGTCCGTGGGTGACTGAGAGCTTAGTCCGTGCTCGTGTGGGCTTAATAGTAACAAAAATCATTGACGGTGGGCTGGGAAAGCCATCAATGCTATTTCCTCCCCTGGTTCTAATTTGGAACGTTAGATGGAGCAGCTGTTATTCTCTGTGAGTTGTGCGCGTCCAGATATTGATTGCCTTTTCCCGCGGGTAATGATTCCTTCAAGAAAAATAATAATAAAATTGGTCACTTCAACCCGCGACTGTTTGTGGGAGCTGATGTGCGCAATTGGCTGCCGTGTTTCGCTCACAAAATATAGCAAATTCACTTTACAGTATATTCTGTGAAGTGCTTTGTGGCGTCTCAACGACGTGATAAGGCGCTATGTCAAATTCAAGGATTATTATTATATTATTATATTATAGATACCTTCAAAACTTTGATGAGAGTCACGCATCCCCATTGCTCTCTGGCCGACATGCTATCAGCAGGAAATAGTGCCTTTTATTAACTTTTATCAGCCAGATTAAAACTTTATCTTAAAGGTATAAGTTGCCCTTAGACTTGCCACACACTTTGCAAAGAAGTTCAAGGATTACTCTCATGGAGCCTGCAGGTTATAAAGAAATAATTTGTATTTTTATAGCACGTTATCACACCAAGAGCAGTTTTAGGGGAATTGTTTTCCGGTGATCTGGAGGATTGTTGGCCAGGACCCCATGAGAAACTCCTCTTTCTGTTCCAGCAGGCCTGAGATCTTTTAGTATCCACCTGAACAGGCAAATAGGACCTCGGTATCATGTACCAATTGCGGGAAGAACAACAACAACAATTTTACATTGAGATAGTTCCTCTCACGTTGGGAGGACATCATAATATTAATAATCCTTGAATTTGATATAGCGCTTTTCACATTTTCTAGACGTCTCAAAGCGCTTCACAGAATACACTGTAAAGTGAATTGACTGCATTTTTTTTGTGGGCGAAACGCGGCAGCCAATTGCGCACAGTAGTGTCCCACAATCAGTTGTGGATTGAAGTGACCAAATTATTATTATTTTTTTTCTTGAGGGATTATTATCAGACGTGTGGAGTAAGGAAACTTAGCCAAGGTTTCGCCCTGACCTGCCGGGAATCAAACCCAGGTCTCTCGTTTGTGAGGCGAGTGCCCTAACCACTGAGCTACAGGACTCCACTGACATTTCAAAGTGCTTCACGGAATTGGCTGGGGGCTCAAGCTAACGTAAAGAAAGCTGGGTGGCGAGGGAGGAGAGGTAACCCAAAGATGACCAAAAATGTCTGGACGAGTTTCAAAGGTGGAAAGACAAGGGGAGAAATGGAGGGACTCAGGGATGGAGTTCCAAGAGAGAGGGGATGGCTCAGAATGGCTGAAAGTTGGCTTTGAAAGTCAACTTAACTAAGAGTTCAAGTTCCTGACGTGGGGATTCAAATACTCGTTGATGAGTCCAAACCAAAAGGGCATAAATTTAATACAGTTTAATATAGTAGACCTAATGCGAAGTTCGGAGGAACTTCTTCATGCAGAGAGTGGTGAGAACGTGGAACTCATTGGTGGAAACTGGTTGAAGCAAAAAGTAAAAAACATCAAAATATTTAAGAGAAAACTTTATGAACATATAACGGAGAAAGGAATAGGGGGCTTTAGCTGAGGGGAATGGGAGGGCTGGAGAGTCGTGTGAAGTATAAACACAGGCACAGACTTGTTGGGCCAAACTCACAGGATGGAAGCTGTGGTTGAAGCAGAAAGCACAAAAGCATTTCAGAGGAAACGCGATGCGCACAGAAAGGAGAATGGAAGAGAGGGGTATGGGTTCAGGAGAGGTGGAGACTCATGTGGAGTATAAACCCTGGCTTGGATTGGGCCAAATGGCCTATTTATGTATGAGTTTATATAATTCTGTGGAACGTAGAGGTGGTTATTTTTAACTGGGTCAAGATTTAATCGACCTTCTTAGCATTTCAGAGTGTCCAGAATGTAGCAAATTCTTAAATATATACTGAGAAGCACTTTGGAACATCTGGAAGATGTGATAAGGCACTATATCAAATGCAAGGATTATCATTATTAGTATTATTATTAATGTAGAAGCCAGTTTTCTATAAGTCTCCTTTAAGAAATATACACAAGGTGATGAGGTACAGAAGGGCAATGAGGCACAGAGATAAAGGAAAGGGGTAACGTTTTTCACACTTAATAATAGTTTTGAATCCACTCCCCCTAACTCCTTCAGCGATAGTCTGTCCTTACGGTGGATCCTTTGGGCGATGAGTATTTGCCGTGGCTGACATCAGTTAAATTTTGGCTGTGTGTAGCACCTTGACGTGAAAGACGCTATACAAATGTAATTTTGGATTGTATTGTGTGCAGCGCTAAAACTCAGGCTATAAGCAGTCATTTTGGGAGACTCTTGCAGCACCAGTAAACAAAGTAAACCCTCGCGGTTCCAAATTTCCACAGTCATAGTATTCAGATCATTGTGCGCAATTGGTTGCCACGTTTCTCCCACAAAATACTTTACAGTATATTCTTGAAGCGCTTTGAGGCATCTCGAAGATATGATCAGGTGCTATATCAAGTGCAAGGATTATTATTATTATTATTATTAAAATACAGTCAATTCATTTTATAGTAGATTCTGTGGAGAGTCTCAATAACATGATAAGGTGCTGTATCAAATGCCAGAATTATTATTATTATTGTCTCTGAAATTTGAAATGGAAGACTGGGGCAGAATTTGGGGAAACTTTTAAGTGTTTAATTCAGCGTTAATTTCGAAGCCAGTTTTCTGCGAGTCTTTTCAAACCACGGCTTCAGAATCAAGACTGAATTTCAGATACTTCCAAAATTTTGTACAATCTTAAATCCTGATCGGGACCTTGAACGTCAAAATAAACTCCCAGCCAAACTGGTTAAAAATCTAAGGCAATCTTTAATTTGCTGAATCACAAATCGTTTCCCCTCTCCCCCCACTCCCCCCCCCCCACCTCCCCCTCTCCCCCCCCCCCCCCCCCCCACAGGTTAAACTGTGAAATGCTCACAGACTCCCACAAATCACTCGAGGAACTGAGGGTGCGATCAAAGGCAATCTTTACCATACACGGTGAAACCCAGTTACTTCAGAGTATCCAGTTCACCTTCCACCATCCTGGCAGTCACAGGTACATGTGACTATAAAACTATATGCTGTATCCCAAAATATTATTGTTCCGCTCAGGGTAACAAGCACTTTGTTCTGTGCGAGACTCTTCTTCCCCTGATCGGTTTCCGAGAAGAATGGGTTGTTCCTTTTTCCAAACACATCTTACTTTTGTTTCCAGTGATGGCAGGGAGGACAACAGGAAGTGGTTTGAGAGGAGGGCTGGGGTGGAGGTGGACGGGTGGGCCTTTGAGAGACAGAAAGAGGGAGGGAGAAAGGTGAGAGGAAAGGAAGCGAGAGGCGATGATGAAAGACACAAAGAAGGAAGAGAACGCGGGATGAGAGGGGAACGAGAAAAATAGAACCAGGAGCTGGAGAGGTCTATAAACAGGCGCTAAAGGGTTTGCTTGGTGGAACAGTATGGAGAGGTATTTACAAATGAAAAATAACTATCAGTTCAGCTCACACAGAGACAGCAAGATGTCATTGTCATAGCTGCCCAGAGTTGGACAGAGAGGTTCGATGAATGTCTGCTGCTGGAAGGTGTGTAACAGGGTCAGGTTGTTGCATGACACGTTGTAAAACGAGATGATTCCAGCCTCAAAATCCACAAACACCCCCACTCTGGAGGGTTGTGCTGAAGTCAGTTTGATTCCGTTACGGTTGTGCCAACCTGTCAGGGATCGGGACCAAGAGTAGATGCTCCAGGACTTCTCATTCATGCCTAGGGAGTAGGCGATGTCTCGTCCCCTTCGGTTCAGGCTCTTGTAACAGACCCCCAGCCCCCACCGCCCGTCTCCTTTGATCTGCACCTCCCAGTAACAACGGCCCATGCTCACTCCCTCGCTGCACAGAACCTGCGGGAAGAAGTCAAATCTGTCTGGGTTGTCGGGATACAGTTGCTTCTCCTCGGTTCTCTGCACTGTCTTGTTGTTGTCGGACAGGATGAGGTTGGGAAAGGCCGTGTTGGGATCCAGAATCGGGGAGGATCCATCTGTGAATAGCAGGAGAAATCCAAAGTACACTAAATAGAATCCCATTGAATAAGGCACCCTACAGAACGCACATTTTACAGTATACCCTATGAAGCACTTTGAGATGTCCACCTGAGGTGAAAGGCGCTGTAACAAATATAAGGACTACTATTGGTACTATTATTATTATTATAATTATCATCTCTTTCTCTACTTTGTATAGAAAAATATCGAGCGAGAGCAAAAATGAGAGAGATAGCAACTGAGCCAAGCTGTCACATGGTTTACCAAGAGTGTTGCAAAGCATAGAAGCTTGAAGTCAATGTTAATGTGCCTTTAGCGCTGTACCTGGGACGTCTTTCTGATGTGAAGGTCCCTGCGCAAGCGTAATCTGTTGTACTTACACAATGTAATCATTAGGTTTCTGTTCTTCTCCTTCTGCAAGCACTCCATGCAGTGCCTCTGTATCCACCTTGACAGCTCCTCTAGCTTTGGGGTCTCCAGGGTAGGTGGAGGCGGGGGAGACGAGAAGGGTTCGGACCATTCACTCAATCTGATCAATTGCAGACATTACACGGAGACGTTTAAAGCAAATATTTCACCCGTTGCGCAACTCGCTGCCGCGTTTCGCCCGCAAAATACACAGTCGCTACACTTTACAGTGCGTCCTGAGAAGCGCTTAGAGACGTCGCGAAGACGTGATAAGGCGCCGTATCCAATACGAGGATTATTATTATTATTATTGGGTGCGGGGAGGTGAGCGGAACTGAACTGGCTCCAAGGTGATGTGGTCGGCAACAGAATACCGGAACTGAGACCGCCTTTGCGGTGGGCTCGGTAGGTGCCTGAATCAGGCAGGTCCACAGTACTCCAGGGCACGGCTGATGACAGACCATGATGATGATTCTGAATCAATTATTATTATTATTATTATTATTATTATTATAACTGAAAGTGATACCAACTGAGCCAAGCTGACACATTAACAAGGCGCGTGGAGCATCACAAAACTGCACTTAAGAATTTATTACAGACAATTTGGGGAGGAATTTCACCTGGTTTCAAAGTTTATTCCCTTTCTGTGGCTTTTCAAAGCATCCAGAAGTTGGCAAATTCTTTAACACAGTGTTAATTTTGAAGCTGTTTTTTTTCTCTCTCTACAACCAGAAATAAATGACTTGAAAGTTCAGATTGAATCCAACAATTTTGCCATACAGTGTATTGGACGCTCTAAAATACTACCAAAAAACTGAGCAAATCTCGACTCAGGTGGAATTTCTCCCTGAATGTGCCCATTTTACAATTATAACCTTGCTACCTACTAATTGGGTAGAGTTTGATCGGGACCTAACCTATCTGAATCAACCCTTTCAAACAGATTAGCTCGCATCTGCGCTGTTTCAATCAATCACAGAAAAGAGACTTACTTGTTTGCTATTGAATGAAACGCCTGGAATGAAAGATGAAAAAAAGTGTAGCAGTGACTTACATTTGTACAGCGCCTTTCAGGTAAAGAGAAACAGCTGGGTGCACTTTACTAAATTAGAAAGCATGCGAACAATATAATACATTTACATACTAATTAGAGCCAGAAGTGTCCGCAGAGCTTTATAGGAGATCCTTCAGCTCATTGTGTCTTTCTGTGAAATGAGAAGGGGGAAGGAAACTGGACTGATTACCTGAATAAATATAACTTCTTCTTTCTCGTCGGCGAGTTTGGTCAAGTCATTCAAAAACATCTTGAAGGTTTCTATTCTACTTTCCAGCATGGAGAGCTGGTTGTCGATGCTTCCTGTCACCCGACTCTCCTGCTGGTCCAGGAACTGAAATGCATCTTTCTCTTCTCTCCTAATCATCTTTCTCAATCCATCGTATTTCTCCCGGATGTTTCCTTTCACGTCTTTTATCGTGTCCTTCAGAAGTAGAAGTGTCAAAAAAAAAACAATAATAAATAATAATAATAATAATCCTTGCATTTGATACAGCGCCTTATCACGTTTATTAAGACTGCTAGCAACAGAGCCAGGCTGACACTAATATGAAAGTGTTTCGGGGTTAGGTATAACATGGTTAGATGTAGAATATGGCTCCTTCTACTCTGAACCAACATCAATAACAACAACATCAACTTGCGTTTATATAGCGCCCTTCACCAGGGTAAACGTACAGAGCGTTTCCAGAAGTTTACAATGAGACCTTCTGCGCACATTGTCTCAGATATCTTACAGTGACGTAACCTGTTCCCACTGCGGGATTGAAACCAACCTCAGCTTTCTGCTTTTCATCTTGAAAATGACTAAGGCAGACCTTTGCAGCGTCCAAATTTTGCTGCATCATATCCATTCTCTGCTGTAAACGAGCCTGAAATACAAACGTACACAGCTCTGCGCTGCAATAAAAGGTTACGAAGCACAAATGGAATCTGCAGACGCAGACTGGCTGCCTAGTTTGCCTCTAGTATAGCATTCAATATTAATGGCCTTAAGGCTAAGACCTTGTAAAATTTCAACCCTCTGATTTAATCTTTCACTCGAAGCAGCATTGCAACCTGCTGGCCACCAGTCAGAATTACGGGGATCCTCACAATAAAACTTTGTTAAGGAGCAAAAGACCGAAGGTTCTCCAACAGTTCTGCGTCCACAAGATTGGTTCGGGTGAAGAAGGCCCTACGGCCCATTTGATCTAATCCTTCCAGAACACCCACCCTACCATCTTCCGCAAAGGGTACGGGTAGAAGAGTGATGTGAAATAATAATAATAATAATAATCCTGGCACTTGATATAGTACCTTATCACGTCTTTGAGACGTCTCAAAAAGCTTCACAGAATATATTGTTAAGCGAATTGACTGTATATTTGTGGGCGAAACGCGGCAGCCAATTGAGCACAGCAGTGTCCCACAAACAGTCGTGGATTGAAGTGACCAAATTATTATTATTATTTTAATTTTTGAAGGGATTATTACTCCCTGAAAAGCGATCTGCCAATCGACTAACAACCGGGTTCCTACTTACTGCTAGGTAAACAGAGGCGTGCGGAGTAAAGAAAGTTGTCCAACATTTCGCCCTGCCCGGAGATCGAACTCAGGTAAGCAGAGTGTCAGCGAGAGAATTGTATAACACATACCCTGAGTTCCTTCTCTCCTTCATCGATGCTGGTGCAGTTGTGCTTCTTGTGTTGCCCCACCACCGTGCAGAAGGTACAGATGCAGACCTCATCATCCATGCAGTAAATCTCCAGCAGCTTGTTATGTTCGTTGCACTTCCACAGGGCGATGTCTTCTGCTGCGTCCACAAGAGGGTGATTTTTAAACACGGGGTTCTCGGTGTGAGGTTTCAGGTGTTGCAGACACATGGAGGCTTCGCACTTGAGGCAGGTTTTAACAGCCGGCTGCGGATCATCAGTGCAGTAGTTACAGGGTAGAGGATCCAGGGAGATATCGTGGTTCCTGTATATCTGAGCTATATTCGCTAGCTTCACATTGTCCTCCAGACAGGGCTTCTCCAGGAATTCGGCTTCACATTCTGGGCAGGAGTAAATCTCTGAGTTCAACTCTTTCCAGGTTTTCTCAATGCAGTCACGACAGAAGCTGTGATTACAGCCCAGTATCACTGGATCGCTGAAAATCTGGAGGCAGATGGGGCAGGTTAGCTCCTCTTCTAAGCCCTCTTGAGATGAAGCAGCTGCCATGCCTTAACCAGAAAGGAAAAGAAGCTGAAAGTTAAAGTGTTTCCAGGGGGACGTTGCAATAACACAGTGTTTGCAGAATGTCTCGCAATGAAGCTTTCTCTTCTCCGGGTTTTTTCCCTTCGACTTTTAACAGCGCAAATCCGTGACTAATTAGAGTAATTAATGGCCAGCATTCCGCCTAGTTTTAGTCTGCAAAATTCTACCTAGTTTTAGCCTGCAGGACTGTTTTGTTGCTTTTAAAGTGTAATAATTTCACAGAATTGTGAAAAATTTCTAAATTTAGCCTTAATCTGAAAGTCAGTCCAAGACATTTTGACGTGAGCAGGGCTGGGTGTGCAGATTGGGTGTATATGTTGTGGTTAGGGTTAGGGTTAGGTTGGGCGGTGATGATCTGTGATCAAAAATGACCTAAAAATATTAGCTGAAGAATGGAAGCTTTGAAGCGCTTTGGGACGTCCTCCCGACGTGAAAAACGCTATATCAAATGCAAGGATTATTATTATTATTATTATTTCGCCAAGGTACCAGAAGGACCCCGAGGCCTGAATTCCACCGAATCACACAGCTTCTTACTGCGCATACAGTAAAGTGTAGTAACTCTGTATTTTTTTGTAGGAGAACCCGGTAGCTAATTTGCACACAGCAAAAGTCCCACGAACAGCCACAAAGTGAATGGGGATTGTTGACCAGGTCACCGGGAGACACTCCCTGCCTGGACTTTGGGAATCATGCAACGGGATCTTTAACAGGCAGACGGGACCTCGGTTTAACATCTTATCAAAAGGGCGGCACCTCTGACAGTGCAGTACTCCCCCCAGCCCCCAGTACTGTATTGGAATGACATCCTGCACTGCGAGCTCAATGTCCGGACATGGAACAAACCAAAGTTTAAACCTCTATTCAGTGTTAAAGAAATGAAACTGTCCTGATAAACACGAGCGGATCTACCTGCAGGTTATTTCAATGCGGAAGCATGCAGGAAAGAAAGCGTGCGCGGTGAATAGGAGATAAATATTACCTGGGGAGCTGAGCTGAACAATGCAGCCTGTGATGTAAAGCCTCCACAAGGCACTGTACTCGTCATTCTTCTCTGTGACTGTCTCAGTGATTTCAACCACAATGAGCCGTAGTGGGGGAAACTGTGACAAGGCACGCACAGTGTTGTGACATCAGGACCTCTCATCCATTCACAAGCCGCTGTGTTATTGATTATTGGTTGCGCTGACACCACAGTGGGATCCTGTGACATCAACGCAACTTTAACGGCGTTCATCGGCTTGTGGTTACTGCGATCTGTGTGATATCGCGGCGTTTATAGGCTGGGTAACCTCTCCCATGTGAGATCTACACAGATTTCACCCTCTCACTTCTCGGCCTTTGTGTGCGTGCACACGTGTCTTTTTCTCTCCCAGCGTTCCCCTCAGCAAGTTCTACCCCACCCATGGAGTACATGTGCTTTCTATAGGCAGTAACTTGCATTTATTTGTATCGAACTTCCTTTGCCACTCATCAGCCCATGCGCAGGCCACCCTATCGACCTTTCTTTACGAGTGGGTTAAGAGTGCACAGTTTTTAAAGGCAACATCTTGGACAGACACCAGGAAGTATTGCTTTACACCGAAAGTAATCTACTGCTGGAATGGGATAGCGATAAGGTAGCTAAGGTCAGGAAACCAGACTTCTTTAAGAAAATGCTGGATGCTGTGATGGGAAGACAATAGGGTGGGTATTCTGAAAGATGAGATCAAACAGGCCAAAAGCCTGCTTTTTAATATCACTTTGTTTGATTTATAAATCAATAAATAAAGCCTTAGTTGAACAGACTTTGGTGGTTGGGTGGGAGAGGGTTGGAGGGGTCGGGTATACACAATATCAGTCTCTAAATTCTGGGTCAAATATACAGAGAAATAAGAATTCACCCTGTGGGCAATTTCAAAGGAGCAAATAATTTGTGTCCCTTTCAGTGGGTCAAATGCTTCACAATTTTTCACTGATGAGAACATTTTGTGGTCACTGGCATGGAAACAGCAGATACACAAATTGTTAGCAACTCTGACCAACTGGTCAGTTCCTCCCAACGGTTTTGTCTCCCAGCAACACAATTCCCCCCTCGGTTCGTGCCACTTTGTGGCTGAAAGTAGGACCAGATCCAGGCACAATCTCTCTTCATTTCACTTTGGTTTAAAACGTGGCAAAAAAAACAGAGTTTTTTTTAGGGAAACTATTTACACCCCATTTACACAGCACAAGGGCTGCCTTCATTTTGAGCCACACCTGTTTGAGACTTTCCCGAGCTTCGCTCTGGCTGAGAATGGTTCTTGTGTTCCAAAAATAACCTCCGTAATGTGTAAAACTCACAGAGGAAACCTTTTCCAGCCTTGATATACACACACACACACACACATGCTCGCACATTATATAGTGCTTCAGCTTCTCTGACACCACCCTCTGGAACTCCATCGCATAGTCCCTCCGCCTCGCCGCCTCCCTTGCCTCCTTCAAGACCCGTCTCGAGACCCTCCTCTTCGACTATGCCTTCGGTCACCCTCCTGCCCCTACCCTCCCCGCCCTCCACCCCTCATGATCCCAACCACCAGCTCGGGCGCAGATCCCTGACTGTCCAGCACCCTTCGCATGTCCTCCTGACGTGAAAGGCGCTGTATGAATGGAATGTGTTGTTGTCGTTGCTTAACACAGCCCAAGCCCAAAGTTTTACACTCTTCTCTGAAATCTAAAGGGTGAAATGTGTGACGTAAAACCTAGCCCAATGAGAGCCAGGCATCAGCACGATAACTGCTCACAAACTGACACTTAACTGGCAATCTCCCCCAAGGAGAGACGAGAGGATGTCTGGCGAGGGAGGACAGTGAGAGAAATATCATTCTGGTACAGCAGAGGGCAACCTTCTTGGCGAGAGCGGAAGCTATGTTTTTGCTTAATGTATTTAAGAGGAACTGGTATGTACAGGAGGAAGAAGGGGAGAGAGGGAAATGGGGCGGAGGCTCATGTGGTGTGTAAAATACCGACATGTAGTAGTTGGGCCAAATGTCTTGTTTCTAAGCTATGCAGTTACGTGATTCTATAAAATAATAAAACACATTTTTGGAACAACGCCTGCTCGGAAAGTCAAACTTTTCTCATACTCTGAAACCACAGTGATTGGTCACAGTCATTAACTAGCTAACCCCAGAGGGACTGGTGAAATGTCTCAGCCATCTCCTCCTCCTATCTCTCTGCCTCTACTCCCACCCCACTCCCCTTCCCCCATCCCATATCCCATCCCCCCACCACCCCACCCCCCCATCTGGATCTCCCGGCATTTTTTTTTCTGGAGTGAATCCAGACGCAAAAAGATGCCTTGCCGCTAAATTCCTCTCCCGCTGCAGCAGTTAATATGTCTTTATAAGGTCATTCCTCAGACAGTGCGTGGCACACACTCATCATCCAGGATGGCCTGAGGCAGCGAACTCCCACTCGTTGTGGCTTTGCACACGTTGGCTTTACACATAGCGCATAATACACTGATACAATAGACTGATAGGGTAGCTCTTCCAAAGAGCCGGCACAGGCTCCTTTCTGAGATGTAATGTGCTATGATTCTATGATGCTATAAGCGCTTTGAGACGTCCCAACCATGTAACAAGGCGCTACATCAAATGCTAGGATTACTATTTTGATTTAGTTTTAGTTTCTGCGGTTTTCCGACCTGGAGAGGAGCAAGCAAAGCTCTCCCCCAGGGTGGGAATACCGAATCCTGCGCAACACACAAAAATAATTGAATAGATCCTAAAGCATCAGATCAGATTCCCTCCTTTGTTTTTCAGCTGTAACTGGACGCAATTGGTCCGGTCATTCACTGCATCTGCAATAATAATCCCTCCAAAACCAAAAACAATAATAAATTGGTCATTTTCAATCCACGACTGTTTGTGGGACATTGCTGTGCGCAATTGGCTGCCGCGTTCGCCCACAAATATACAGTCAATTCACTTTACAGCGTGTTCTGTGAAGCGCTTTGGGACGTCCTCCCGACTTGAAAAGCGCTATATCAAATGCAAGGATTATTATTATTATTATATCTGGATTGCCACATAACTGTCACGCACACACACATGCGCACACTCATGTAGGCAGGCAGACACATGCACATGCACACATACAGAGCTAGGCAAGCGCAGACGAAATTCCACAGCGACACACATATCAGTGTCACAGTGAGTGTGCAAAGATATATCAGAGATACAGTGAGGGGCTGGAGCATTAAGCAGTCTACCCGTTACAGTGCATTGCCTTTGTAGTGTCCCTGCCAACTGTCCAGTCACAAGCCCCGTGAATAATCCCTTGTTTAAAGGCAGGGATCATCGCTGGCTGGTGAGTGATTGCTTATACGGGTTGAAATTAAGGTCAGCCCCCATCAGACGAAATGCCAATTTGCTGGACAACAAGCATAGCGAAGGCAGAATATCGGGGAAATTAAACGTTGATTATTAATCCAAAGCGATTTTAATGGAGCTGAAACAATTTTGGAGGGTTTACATTTCCACTAATTCCACCGCTCCGGTGTCATCGTGACACACAGACTCTGAAACCAAGCCAGTGTCATATTGCCCCAGGGAATCACAAAACAGGACATTACTGGAAACGTAGAAACAGGAGTAGGCCATTCAGCCCCTCGAGGCCTGTTTCGCCTTTTATAAGATCATGGCTGATCTGTACCATACGTCTGGTTACCCGCCCTTGCCCCATATCCCTTTATACTCTGACCTAACAGATACTGCACACACACAGGCTGCTGTTTCTCTCCACACAAGCCTCCAAATCTAACCTCACCCCCTCTCCTGCTCGCCCCGCAAAACCATTAGGATGCCAGGCTGGCTCAGCTGGTAGCACCCGCACCTCTGTGTCAGAGGGTTGTGGGTTCGAGACCCCACGTCAAGACTTTGTAGTGTCAGTGCCGACCATCCAGTCACAAGCCCTGAGAATAATCCCTCATTTGAAGG